ATTCTTGTGCTTCTGTTTGGAAATCGAACTAATTTTGTTGACTGTCGATATCGAAAATAAATGTGCCCTTCTATCATACTTAGCAAACTATGGGAGAAATGTCAACGTAGAATGAAATAATAATATCATGTTAGGATTTACATTTAGCGATAGAGATCTAGACGATATATTCTTTAGGCGGGCACCCGGAGTGATTATATGCCATTTGAATTCACAAATTTGGAAATTTTACGTACTTATGGCAATGTACACGAGGTATTCAATACTGTAATATGTCTTTCACAACGAGAGAGTCAGATGTTGTGAAAGAGTTAAAATTAGGAAGAAAAATATAGTATGGAATTAAGAAGCTGAAAGAAGGAGATGTAATATATTTCTTAATCTCATAATTACAATGCCAACATTATATACAAGATGCTGGAGTAGGGAGCAAGAAAGAGTAGCAATAACATGTGAAGAATCAATATAATTACAACAATCTTGTGGTCCTAGAAGAAACTGCACAATCCGGTAAATGGCAGATTCGGTAAGTTAGAGGTGAGTGCAAATACGATAAGTTGTAGTAATACCCGTGAGTGTCAATCCGATAAGTTATAGGAAATACGGTGAGTGCAAATACGGTAAGTTGTAGTAATATCGGTGAGTGTCAATTCGGTAAGTTAGGGGAAATCCGGTGATTGTTAGTATAACATAGTTTAACATTCCCCCTCAAGCTGTAGTTAAATTATCTAACTCCAAGCTTGTCCCTTAAGAAGATGAATCTGGTTTGTGAGAAAGGTTTGGTCAAGAGGTCAACAATTTGTTCTAACAATGGAATGTATTGAATGTTTAACTTTCCTTTAATAACCCTATCTCTGATAAAGTGTATATCCAGCTCAACGTGCTTGGTTCTGTCATGGTAAACTGGATTTGAGGCTAGGGTATTCGCACCAAGATTATCACACCAAAGTATTGGAGGTGAAACACATACTAATTTGGTCTCGTTAAGCAGTGATTCTACCCAAGTCAGTTCAGCTGCAGCTGTACTCTGATTCAGTGCTGGACCTAGCTACAACATGTTGCTTCTTTGACGATCAAGCTACCAATGTGTCTCCCAAGTAGATGCAATAAACAGCTGTAGCTGCTGTAGACCTTCTATCATCAGGGCATGATGCCCAATCTGCATCAGCAAAGCCGGTAAGATGTATTGCATCAGTTCTTCGTATCCAGAGTCCTTGTTCAATTGTACCCTTCAGGTACCTGAATATTCTTTTCACT